TGTGCTTCCGCACCACAATATCTCCTGTCGTATGATTTTATAGGCGTGTGTGGCGTAAATAGTTTCGGTGTAGTTGTCACGACTTAGGATCTCTATAGGTCTCTACCACCTCCTACTGTATTTGTTGCTTGAAAGCGCACTGCTATTCGAGGTGTGAAGTAGGATAGGCACTCTCCGGTGCGCCGTAGGTATTCTGTTCTCGAGATATGTACAAGAGATATATGGCATGCATGTGACCTAAAACAATTGTTTATGAACTGCAAATTGAATCTCTTTACAGATGAGAGATGTGAAGACTGTGGGCAACAAGTTCTACCATGTCCTCGTGCCCAGGAACGATAAGACACTTCTGCGCGATTGTATGTGTGGGGTGTGCTGACTTTTGATTGCCCGCCACCTCTCTGAGTTTCGTAGTTCCTATATGTTCGTCTGAGTCTGTCAGCCTTTCATGACTCACACTACTACTGTACCGAGTACCTGCATGGCGTGTCGTCAGATGTACATAGTCTCAAATAAGCCTAAGGAAAACAATTGTACTTATCATCTGTCTGTGGTGTGCTATGCATTAACGACTACCTCCATCCTCAAGTTCTGAAGATGCTTCATACGACACCGTTGTACTCGTTGTCTTTCCATTTATCTGCTTGCATATCTGTTCTTATCAGATATTTCTATATACTTACTCACATGTCCGTACTCATCGAGTTTTTGTACATATTAACGACTGCAACAGGGGATCTTTGGGGACCACTACTGCTGTGCGTCAGTTTAGCTCTGTAAGTCATATATGAATACTATATTGTGCCTGATATTATTGTGTATAACCCTACGTTGCGTTTGAATGAACTTGACGGAATACGTATGTTATCTGCTCAGTGCCTGGGATAAGTCCTGTCGTATACTTGCTTCGACCACCAAAATTATTCATATCGGTATATTCTCTGCAATACGAAAGTTTTTCATTTTTTTCGGTGGCAAATATCTCGTGCGACATGATACTTTAGTCCACTATAAAATCACGTGGGCAGACTTGAGGGGGCTTTCCGTAGATACTCTCAAGACCGAAAGTTGCATGTATTCATCAACCACTTTTGTACGTAACAATATCTTGCTGATGCATATGCTTCTGCCAGAAACCATCGATTAACTACCGTAATCTAATTGCAATAAATGTATTTTTCATTCCGTCGACAGGATTCTGCGAGAAACTGCGGCAGACGACCAAAAGACTCTGGTGTTCACATCGGTGTTTGTTATTGTTTGGGTGGGTTCCGCTGTGGTGACCATCAATTCTCAGCTCTTGGGCGGATCATTGTATGTTCTTCCTATCTTATATATTTGCATATGTATATACATTGTCGAATGTATTGTCGCTATGCGATGGACTATACAGGTTATTGTGCAGATTTCTCGCAAATTAGTATCTATCAATACGGTGTACGTGATGTGAGGCTGCGTGTGTAATATATAAGCGGTTTGCTTGCCGCAAGATTTTGTCCGTATGCCTGACCGTCAGTTCCTCAACGGTTGTTCTCAAGCTCCTAGGTCACAATATCACCCTAGTTATCCAAAGATCCCATGTTTATACAACGAACCCCTGAATGATACACTACTGCTCCTAGACTACTTTCTCACTACTATGTCGTTTATTTGTCTGCCTGCTCAATCATTACCCTTATTTATATACACAGATCATTTTTCCAAAGTCTCTGCGCACTGGGTTACTGCGTGCTACCGCTGGTGTTATCAGCACTTATGTCGAGCATACTCTCTCTGCTTGGTCTACATGCCGCTTGGTTCCATATTTTGTTGGTACTAATATCTCTGGTTTGGTCTATATTCGGTAAGAGCTGCGGCTAGTTGTATTTTGTGCCTAGAAATGTGACCATGGTTTAAGAGAAGTTCGTACATTCTCAACAGCAGATTGTGTTGTCATTCCTTTATACGTACGCCATCTACAATTTCAATTATCTCAAATCCCAATATTACTGTTATAATATGCAGCTTCCATGGGATTTCTGGCAGACAGTCAGCCACCGCATAGGAAACCACTGGCGATCTATCCGTTGGTACTTTTTTACGTCGTCATTGCGTGGATGATTATAATTCAACCTCGATCTTAAGAGCATATGATGTGCAGTTTAAAGCACAGAAATCCAGATGATATAGAATGTTAGTCAAGAGGAGTGAAGCGCAACTGCATGCGAATTATGTAATTCTTCATCCAATAAATATTATGTCAGATTAAATTGAACAATGTTTATTCCAGAAAGTCCGTAGGCGCCTGTCTAGGAACAGCATCGGCCGTCTGCACATCCATGCGAAGTGAATACAAACGTTTTGAATTCCTGACTAGAGTGCATTAAAATTAACAAAAGTGGCGTGTTGTCGACTACGTGTCGATAATCGAGCAATAATCTGAGCGTTTACCCGATGGGTGATTCAAGTACTATCGGCTTTGCGAGATCATTCAACATTATATCCCCATGAAGCTTGAATTCTCACTAAAACTCTCAGTATCAAAGCTTGTTGAAGTATCAAAGCCTGGTCATTCGTAAGAGAGTATACGAGTACAAGCACACAAATAAGGAAACCAGTTGGACCTATACAAATCGAGCATAAAAGATCGAGGTCAGAGTGGCCGTTTTCCTAACCAAACACATCTAAATAAAAACTTCTTCGAACTTCATTTTGCTTTAAAAAAAATCGACAACTGCTATTACATGTGGTAGTAACCTGTATTGTGCACTACTAAACTACAGTCTACAATTTTTAAGTTTTTAGTTTTGGATTTTTGAAGGTTTACTTTCTCCCCCGCAAGAGTCAACAATATTGTACAAACGTGACTGTTTTTTTTTTGACACGACCTTTTGCCGCCTCTGGAGGTTAACATTGGCCTGCTGGATACCCAAAAAAAATTAATGAAGCCCGAAATTATTAACGATCTGTGGCAGAGCGTCTTAAAATGGAAACCTTTCTATGGCGAAATTTTAAGTTTTAGTGATATTTTTAAGTTCAAGGTCACTCCAGAGTGAATTCATTATTTCCACTTTCTTTTGAATTTAACATTGTGAAACTCTCATTGAAGGCTATATTTAAATCCAATGGAAAAACGTCTTTACCTGAATCTAACACCAACCAAAACCACTTTTTCGCAAAAAAAAAAAAGCAAATTAGGTGGAAATTATTTCAATAAATCATGTACTAATTAGTGTAATTTTAAAAGCGCGCAGCATCAAGCATGATGTCTGCCAAATTTAAAATTAAAATCGCTTCATTAAAGTTTTGAAAAACAACTTAAAATGCCGCTGAAATATTAAATAAACATATTTCCAAACCTACTTTAAATACCGCTGCCTGTCACGTGAACAACAGTTCGACGCCTGTCAGTGATAATAGGAAGCACATAATATATTAGTGATAAAGGAGTCAAGATGTCTGCGAGATATATCTCGTCACTTGCCACGACCGTGGTTATACTGGGCCTAGTCACAGGTACGTGTATTTCAGCGGACTTGCTTGCTGTATCAGGTTGTCATCTACACAAATGTCTACAAGGATCATGCAATGGAGTGAAATACATCGAACTACTTTAGTGAATTGTTTTGTTGTGTGTGTTGTATTATATACTTTGTTAAGCTTGTCAAAGATGATTATCGTAACAATGCGGCTGCAAGTCTGAAATCTACAACCGCTATGCTATATTTCATGTAAGTGTACCTATGTTATTCATGTTGCCATAATTCAGAGGTTCTGCTGTAAGTTTTGATAAAGTAAACAGTCTACACGCGCATTTGCTGGAAGTAATTATCAATTGTAAAGAAGTTCATTTTATTGTATTAATACCTGGATACCCTAGAACTTTCCGTCTCTGCCGAGTTGAACGGCGTATGCACTTTAACATTGCTAGAGAGTGTTTGAACAATCGACAAAGACGTTGGTTTTCGTGTGAAATCAACTTAAAATGCAGATAAATAAATAGCGTAAAGGCTATTAGGAACATGTCTCGGAATGGGTTGTTTCAGATTCACTGTGTGTTCTAAAAAGATATTCACATCATATATAGATTTATATATTACAAATTACATCGAACTTCTGCGTGCCACATTCTTGAAGTCCACATCGGCTGAGTTCCTGCCCGTGTTCACGAAGCCTGTTCTAATTCCGATTACTAGGTCTGATGTCTGTTCTTCGTCTCTTTCTATTGAGCAATCCTATTTGTAACCTATACATGCCTCTATATATTTTTGTACCTTTGCCCGCCTGGGAGTGTCAATTGTTTCAAGTCATTGCTTAGCCAGAAATAGGCTGACAGCCACGTCGATATTATCATTTCAAGTGTACAGCAGTTAGTTTCGATATCTCTCACAACTCCCCACACCCAAAAGAACACGAATGACGATTGAGACTCAAAAAATGTGGTATTTGCTATTGTATTTACAACAGGTGTCACGCCTGTGTCTGTCGCTCGCCGACAAGACCCATTCGGGGCCGCGGAACCTGAGGATACTGCAGCGGGGATTGTAAACCCCAACCCTTTCGATCCATTCGCGGATCCGAACGCTGCTCAGCCAGCCCAAGATGAAGACGAAACTGATAGTCTAATAGGCACCGACACATCACAGCCGGATGAAACTGACCCCAGTGGAAACTCAGATACCGGTGACCAAACACCGGCCAGCACTGAAGGTCAAACCCCAACTGACTCCAATGAAGAAACTACCAGCGAACCGGCAGTAGTTCAACCCGCAGCGGATCCATTCGCGCCTTTCCAACCAGTCACTCCTGATGCGGAACAGCAAGATACAACCGGAACGGATGGTACACAGCTTGGAGATACCACTGGTGATACTACAGGTGCTACTACTGGAGATACCACTGGGGATATTACAGGTGCTACTACTGGGGATACTACTGGAGTTACTACTGGTGATACTACTGGTGATACCACTGGTGATACTACTGGGGATACTACTGGTGATACTGCGGGGGTTACTACTGGTGACCCTACTGGTGTAACTACTGGCGATACTACTGGAGCTACTACTGGTGATACTACTGGCGATACTACTGGAGTTAATACAGGTGATACTACGGGAGTTACTACAGGTGATACTACTGGCGATACTACTGGATTTACTACAGGTGATACTACTGGCGATACTACTGGTGATACTACTGGCGGTGCTACGGATCCGTTCGCGCCTCAGCCCGTTCCTCTGCCTGAACAAGAAGCAGCTAATGAAACCGATACTGGAGTGCCCGATGCTCAGAATCCTTTCTTGGTTGTTCAACCGACCCCGGTTGAAGATCCAAATGCAGTTGTGACACCGGTTGAAGATACCAACACAGGCACCGACCCGTTCGCTGTTGCTGATCCAACACAGCCCCAGGTTGAGGATCCTAACACAGTCCAGACTGACCCTAACGCAGCTGTAACTGATCCTAACGGAGTCCAGACTGATCCTAACGCAGCTGTAACTGATCCTAATCAGCCCCAGGTTCAGGATCCTAACACAGTCCAGACTGATCCTAACGCAGCTGTAACTGATCCCAATCAGCCCCAGGTTCAGGATCCTAACACAGTCCAGACTGACCCTAACGGAGTCCAGACTGATCCTAACGCAGCTGTAACTGATCCCAATCAGCCCCAGGTTCAGGATCCTAACGCAGTCCAGACTGATCCTAACGCAGCTGTAACTGATCCCAATCAGCCCCAGGTTCAGGATCCTAACACAGTCCAGACTGATCCTAACGCAGCTGTAACTAATCCCAATCAGCCCCAGGTTCAGGATCCTAACACAGTCCAGACTGATCCTAACGCAGCTGTAACTGATCCCAATCAGCCCCAGGTTCAGGATCCTAACACAGTCCAGACTGATCCTAACGCAGCTGTAACTGATCCCAATCAGCCCCAGGTTCAGGATCCTAACGCAGCCACGGACCCATTCGCAGTTGCTGATACAACCCAGCCCCAGGTTGAGGATCCTAACACAGTCCAGACTGACCCTAACGCAGCTGTAACTGATCCCAATCAGCCCCAGGTTCAGGATCCTAACGCAGCCACGGACCCATTCGCAGTTGCTGATACAACCCAGCCTCAGGTTGAGGATCCTAACACAGTCCAGACTGACCCTAACGCAGCTGTAACTGATCCCAATCAGCCCCAGGTTGAACAACTCCCAGTTCTCGAGAGCACCGTGACACGAGTAGCAACACAAGATGTGGTAGAGGTTGAAGTCACGTCGACACTCTCGCGAACCCTGACTCGTTCAACGGCGGACACCACTGCCACCAGCGTCGAAACCACCACGGATCAGTTCCCAGCAATCCCGCAGGAGACATCAACTGTTATCGATGCCCTGCCAACGTTCCCAACGCCCGAGTTGCCAGTGTTTACTACAGCGGAGTTGCCAACCGTCCCTGTTTCGTCGTCTAGCGTCGAAACTACCACTGACATGTTGACCACATTCCCTGTTGGACCGCCTCTCCCAGAGTTCGCGCAGACCACTATGAGCACCAGCAGCAGTACGGAGATGACATCAAATACGGGCCCAGCTAGTCTGGTTATCGTTACCGAAACATCCACAGAGGTCGTCACGCCACCTCCAATTATCGAGACCGAGGTGATCGTCTCGATTGTCTTCGCTGACCCCGAGCCAGAGCAGCCTAAAGTGACTATTACTTCTACTGAAGTGGTGGGCAGTACCACCACCCAAGCAGTACCTAGCACAAGCACGCTGGTTGTGACTCAAACTGATACATCAATCGAAATTATCTTTGAGACTAGTGTTGAGGTCGTAGAAAGCACGGTTTTCGCGTCAGCGAGTGACGATGCATCAGAGACGTCGGATATAGAGATATCATCTGAAGTACCCTCTGAATCGAATGTGGAAGAGTCAAGCTCTGAGGTACCGTCTGAGATGGAGTCCAGTACCGAAGTGGTTGCGAGTTCCGAAGCCCCCTCGAGTGCCGAACCTAGTGAAGTCGAATCAAGTGCTGAGCCAAGTGAGGTCGAATCATCGGAGGCTGCTAGTAGTGAGGCTGCATCCAGTGCAGAACCGAGCGAAGCTGAATCATCGGAGGCGCCGCCCGTAGTAGTCAACCCGTTTGATCCTTTCGCGCCGCAGCCTGAGGAGCCGGAAGAATCCTCTGAACCTGTTGATCGCGAAATTCCCAGTGCATCTGATGAGGCTGAGTCGTCCGAGGCACCGGAAAAACCTGAACCGGAACCATTCAATCCTTTCACAAGAGATCCTTTCGCTCAACAGCCACAACAACCCGTGGAGACGGCGGCAAGCGAAGAATCTGAGCCTGCTGCTGAGGCGAGTGAGGCTACAGAAGGTGCCGAGGAAGGTGCCAGTCAGGCTGAAAGCGCTGCTTCGGAGGCTGCAGAAATTTTGGAAGACTCTAAAAGTGCACACGAGACTGAGGTAGAAACTGAGGTTGTGCAGGAGACTGAAGTAACCCAGGAGACTGAGGTAGAAACTGAAGTTGTTC